TAGATTTGAACTGGGAGTCTTTTTTTGATGTTGGGTTGATCTTTTTAGGTTGTTTGGGCCATGAATAGTTTTTTCAAGGGGTAAAGGTGTTTTTTAGGCTTTTTGATTAAAAAATGGTTGAAAATAGAATTTTCGGGTGTGAAAACCCCTATCCTAACTTTCCGGTGATCTTTGGTCTTTGTAATCTAGGCATTGCCTGCGATTTCTTTGTCAAAAAATTCAGGGGAAAAGGACAGGAAAAAAATTTAAACAAGCCCAGGCACATAGGCTGCTCCAAGCCTACATGTTTGGATCTTTTTTTTTTCTTTTTGTTTTTTTAATTGGTTTTTTTTCTTATTTTTTTTCAATTTTATACTTTAATATTTTATTGATTTTTAATTGAGTAACGTAATTTATCTCGGTTTGATATTTTTTGTTTTCTCATGATCTCAAACAAACTTCTCGATATTTAGTTGGTTATTAATTTTGCGAGCATCTATTTTAAATAAAAAAATTATTAAGCCCAATTGAGTCTATGACACGGGTTACGGATTTGGTTAGTTAATTTAGTTAGTTAGAAATTGAGCTTCATAATTTGTTTCAGTTGCACAAATAATTATAGATGTATTTAATTAAATGCTGCATGAACTTTTCAATTTACGATTAAGATTTTTTTATGTCAAAAAACATGTAGGGAGTGCTATCATATTCATTTTTTTGTATTGAAATTTTTTTTGATCCAACTTGCGGTGAGGTGCAAGTCAAGTAGCTAGTTGGTAATTGCATGGTGTGGTTTTCTAGACAAGAAGGGAATGTGTGGACATATTTTGTTTAGAAAAATGGACATTTTTTTTTTTTAAAATGGTATTTTTTTTTTTTTTTTATTGGAGTTGAACTTGAAGCATGTCTCACAAGGACTTCATTGCTAGTATGAAAAGAATGTGTGCTCATGGATAGTTTGTGTGCGCTTCCAATATTGATGGTCGTAATAGTAGAATTATTTGGTGTGCACTGTGGTGGGTTTTGTGAAAGCGTTTCCTTCACATATTGTTTTACACAATAGAACTTTGCGAGGCCTGGTAGTTGTGTAGTGAAGACTCAAGGTTTTGGGTAGGGATGTATTTGTGTAGTGTTGAATTAGTGGGTGAAATCTCCAATTTTGATAGTGAAGTTTTGTGGAGAAGGTTTTGCCGAACCATGTTATATTTTTGTTTGTGTCCCTTTTATTTTGTGGGTTTTGCATAATAAACTAAAGTTCTTTACACATCCTATACCTGCAAAAGCAAGTTATCTTCTTCCTTTCATCTTTTAAAACATAGCCTATCTTTACGCTCCGAGACTGGAAAATTCCCCTCATTTTGTAAATTTTAGGTAATTATCATACGCGTCATCATAAAACTATTATAGTTGGTGAAAAAATGCTTCATTTTTTTAATGTTTCTATCACCCATCTAATCAATTCAACATTCCAGTTCCCAACTGTCCTTATCTTAATTCCCTCAACTTTTGATTAATTAAATATCATGTGCTTAATCTTTCTTATTTGGAAGCTTTGCATCTGATTTCTTGAAATGCTTTACCAAATACAGGAATTATATGGAAAGATGTGCTCCTGATAGATAAAGTGTTGCATGAGGCTCTTCTCCCCGACTATTCTTCGAAGGTTGTCTTTTATTTCAGCTGCTCTTAGATTTAATAATGATCCCTACCTTCATTTTCCTCCTCTCGCTGAACTGAAATTACAAAAAGAAAATATGTTTGTTTGAAAGTGGAATTTCATAACTAATCAAATCCTACATCATCTCAGGCTTCCCGGATCGCTGTCAGACAATATATAAAAAGCACATTTTCTCACCTTCTGCATGATATCTCAGGTATTGTTACATCTTCAACAAAGTTTTACTTCTGTGGTGCAATTGTCCATTTTTTGAGATGGATTGAGGGTTATGAAATCTTGGAGTGGTGTAATCTTACAAGTTTGCAACTTTGTATCATCCAATGGCTTGACAGTGAACATAAAATTGTTGACCAAAAAGCTCAGGAAAATTCATAATTTTTATTGATTTTTAGATAGCCTTGTCAATCCTAATTAAATTCCATCTGAATTGGCAGATGCCCTAACCAATGTCCATATCAAACCAAAGGGGGAAGTGGATGAGCATCCTCTAGTGGTTTTCCTGGAGGCAGGCAAAAGCTCAGTGCTTCAAGGGAGTGTGAATGTCTTACTGGTAATAAATAAAATTCCATCAAGACAATACAACCAGGAATGTTTGGAGTCTTACTTTTCCCCTGTACTGAAGCATCTAAAATCCTGCTGACATTTCTAATAGGTTTCTTGAAAATTTAACTAGATTCCGTTCTCTGTGACTCTCTTTGTTTGCTGTTTGGTATGTTTTTAACAGAATGGAGGTGATACTGCAGTCTTGCATTGCATTCTATTTTTTTTTCTCTAATGATTATTTTTTTCTCTAATGATTTGTGTGTGTTTCCTCTATCCTTGTACTTAGACATCTCTGTCACTGACAACCACATTATCTGTCAAGTACTTGAACACATCCTCACCTAGCATTTTTGGATCTCATTACTCGCTCTTTCCAGGACTTCCGCCAACTTCTCAAGGAAAACTTAGGAGGGCTTCAACTGAGTGACTTGATTGTTGATTGGGTTCAAGAAGGATTTCAAGAGTTCTTCAGGGCACTTCATGATCAGTTCCTTTTACTTTCAGGGAAAAATAAACCTGCCATTCAAGATGAAAATTCCACAAACAGTATGCAGGTTGAGAAAGCAGTTCCCGGTCTTGTCCTGGTGCTGGCTCAACTGTCTATTTTTATTGAACAAACTGCCATCTCTAGAATTACTGAGGCAAGGAGCCACCCAACAGTTGTATTTCATTTTCATTTAAGAGGTAAAATATCATCATTTGGCATTTTAGATTCTCTGTGGCTTACCTTAAAGTTACATGTCTTAATTACCAGGAAATAGCTGCTTATTTCTCTGGTGGTGGTGGTGGGGCTCATGAAAACGGGCCAGCATTTGTTCCTGGTGAAATTTGTCGAACCTTCCATTCAGCTAGTGAAATTCTTCTACAGCATGTACGAATTAAAGTCTCTCTTCAGAACTTTTAATTCTTCAATGAATGTACAAAGTGCCTATTTTATGTGATTGTTCAAAAATCTCATGGTGGTGGTGAATTTTTGGATGTTCATGGCACTATCACTACTTCATTGCTTTAAAATTCCTATAAATTTATTTACTTATTAGCTATAATCCACAACACTACCCACTCCCAAAACACCTGTCTGTTGGAGGATAACTGAAAACTTTCCCTTCACTCACAACTGGTCCCATCACAGCATCAGGCAATGGATTTTTCCGGTTTTGAATTTTGCCTGATTATGCGTTGGAAAAGTGGGATTCAAGTGAGACCGTGATCTCCCAAAAATAAAAAGCCTATCCCTCTTGAAAATGGAAAATTCGTTATCTTCCTCCTCTTCACCTTTCCAAAACAACCCCCCACAAAAAAAATATGCAATTCACCCCTGGGCGTAGCTGTCATAAACACTCATTGACAAATTTGCTATTATACATCATTTGCTATGACAGATTGAGTCATCAAATACAATGCAAAATTAATTAATTTGAGTAATATTTTTCATTAACCCAACATCGGTTTTACTATCTGTTCCAAATAACATATTGTCATTTTGTTACTTTTTTCAGTATATAAATATGAGAACTCAAAAAATAACGGTTCTCCTGAGGAAGAGGTTTACAGCTCCAAATTGGTTCAAGGTCAGTATGATGCATGAAAGTAGAACTATATTTTAGTGTGGATTAGTTTGATATGTGCCTAATATTTCTTAATTTTTCACAGCACAAGGAACCAAGAGAAGTTCATATGTTTGTTGATCTATTCCTTCAAGAGGTTTGTTGCTTCATTGATTTTTCTGGGTTATTATTATCTTGGGCAATATTTGGGGGTAGTTTTAGGATATGCCAAATTTATTTAATTTGACATTCCTACAAATTACAGTCGTGACAACTTGTAGATTCGTGTCAACACTCACCTATTTATTGAGAAAAAGGGAAGAAGACAACTTACTTTTATTTTGTCCTTGCTAGTTGGAAGCAATTGGAACAGAGGCAAAGCAGATCTTACCTCATGGAGTACTTCGCAAGCATCGTCGCTCTGAAAGCAATGGAAGCTCTGCTTCCTCCCGCAGCAATTCATTACGGGATGACAAAATGAGTCGGTCAAACACCCATCGGGCTAGGAGTCAACTTCTTGAAAAACACCTAGCGAAATTGTTCAAGCAAAAAGTTGAGATTTTTACAAAAACTGAATATAATCAGGTATAAGACCATCCTTGTCATTTTTTTACTTTATTGGGCAGGAATTACCGGTACAGACTATGAAGTAACATGGACGATTCTGCTTGCAATATGCAGGAATCTGTTGTAACTACTGTTGTAAAACTTTGTCTTAAAAGTTTGCAAGAATTTGTTCGACTCCAGACTTTCAACCGGAGTGGATTTCAGCAAATTCAATTGGATGTTCAGTTTCTAAGGGCTTCTCTAAAGGAAATTGTTGAAGATGAAGCTGCTATTGACTTTTTACTTGATGAGGTAAATCAAGGAATAACTTGACTTGATTTTGAAGTTCAGTCCTGGAAATTGTCTGCTGGAGTTCTTATTTGTTGGTTGTTTTCCTCTGCCTTATATATGAAAATGTTTTATCCTGGAAAGAGAGGACGGGGGTTGGATTCCTTCCCTTTACTCGTTATTCTCTGAGTTTTCGGAGCTTATGATATTTGTGGTTAGCTTTGAAACTTCTTACTAATAAATTATATGCATTGATTTTCTGATGGAACAGGTGATTGTTGGTGCTTCGGAACGCTGCCTTGATCCAATTCCACTGGAGCCTCCTATCTTGGATAAATTAATTCAAGCAAAGTTGGCAAAAGAGAAGGAATAGACTCCAATTTCTCTGTAATCTGAGGAAGGTCAAGCTGGTGGTTAGAATGTTTGAGTCATCAGGAACTGCCAAGTGTATTTCTGAAGGAATAATGAAGTCACAACAGAAGCTTCTCCGGCATCCTCCAGCGTATTGTGGTGGTAAGATGGCATGAAAAGGATGGTAGATCTTTCTTGATTCCTGATAATGACCATGCAAACTTCCATGTTTTTACTCTTGAAGGTGCACCTTTGATGGTCATGATCTGATTACTGAGTGTTGCTTTTTTGGCTGCGTCGTTGCCGTCCACAATTCGGAAGGATGTGATATGATGATGAGCATAGGGAATCATGTAACCTTTACACACTGTATAAAACACCGTGCTATTATTTCCATATTTTTTTGGCAGGGCATAAATAGTTTTCATGCTTCAATTCAAGAAGTCAATATTTTTGTCAAATCATGATACATCAAAATAATTAATCGGCTCATTTATGAGCTCAAAGAAGTGGACTATCAATGGCTTGATTATTTTTCATCATGTGGCCGTCAATTCATCATCCTCGTGAAAGGTTGTGTTCGGGTTTCAGGTTTTTTTTTACACTCAATAGTTATTCCAGTATTTTCACAAACTTTTTTTTTTTCATATTTGGGTTGTATATAATTTTTATAGGTGTAATTAATTTTAAGATTTTTTCTTATGCTCACATTTAATTATCATTTTTTAAAAGGGTCAATTGGAATAAAAGGTCATATCTCTTGGAGGAGAATAAAATAAAAAAATTTAACCAAGGGTTTTATTTTTTATATTTTTGGCAACGCATGTTAAACTTGTTCTAATTGATTCTATAATGTTCTTTTTTTTTTTTGTGCAATTTCATTCATTGTGTTTTTAGTATTTTTTTTTGCCTTGATTCACTATAAAAAAAATTGTCAATTACAAACAAAAATATTAATGGAAAAAATATTGTCGATAAATTATAATGATATTTACTAATAAAAAATGATGTTGCTCTTTCTTTCGGTATTTATTGGAAGAATTTTTTTTTTTATGAATATCAAGAAAATTACAATTGAAAATTAAGAAATGAAAAAAAATGAAAATACAACGTGTTAATATTACTAACATAATATTTTGTAGAAAAGATGGTTAGGTTAAATTGTAGTTCTAGTAATGTGCATGAAGTGGTAAAAGATAATAGTAGTCTTATAAGAGTATGATTATAGATACGATGAGAATGAATCAAGGTTATGCAGGTGAATGTTCAATCGTAAATGAAGAATCAAATGCATATGTGACTATGTTTTTTGATCTTTTAAAAAACTTTAATGAATCATTATGGATGGGTACACAAATCATTGTAATTCATCGATCATTGCACAAGTATTTACCATTAAATCAAATCACGAGTTGAATGTGGCCAATTACAACAGAATCGTTGAATGAACAAGAAATATTTTACTTGAAAGGAATAGGCTGAAAGAGCATCAACACTACAACACAACTAGCATGTGTAAACCCATGTAAATAAAATGAGGAGCTATGGGTGATATGTAAGCCAAATGAAACCATACTTTTAAAATAACATATAATACATTTAACGACAACCCAATATGTATTTATAGGAGTATGCATAAACTAATATACCTTATTAATAACAAAATAAATGTATGGTCTTGTAAAAGTAACATATTAAAAAGCACCAACAATTTGACAAAACCATGTAGAATCAGAAAATAAGCAATCAAACATCACAATAATCTTTGAGGTAAAAATAAGAATATCAACAGGTTTACAAAAAGACATACCTTTTCTATAGAGTATGTCAAGAATATACTTATTTTGTCGTTGCATAATACCTATATTAGTAGGATGAACCTTATTTTCCAAAAAATAATGAACAACTCCTAAACCCCGAAGCTTAAACTTTGAGCTTAACAATTGTATCAATCAGTGAAGCAGACTGAATTGCTTCTAGTAAGCAAAATATCATCAATATAAACAATAAGATAAAATATATAATCACTTTTAGAGAAGATGAATAATGAATGATATGTCAACTTTAGAAGCATGAAATCTAATAGAGAAAAGAAAATCGCTCAAGTGAGTGTACCATAACTGAGGAGCTTGTTTTAAACCATATAAAGACTTATGTAACCAATATATATGAGAAGAAAGAGTAGAATCAACGAAACTTAAAGGTTGTTGCATGTAAATATCCTTGTCAAATGTCCTATTGAAAAGGCATTATGTATATCAATCTGATTAATCTTCTAACATGTGAAATCGCAATTGTAAAAACCAACCAAACAATGGTTTGCTTAATGACAAGATTAAGAGTTTCAAAATAATCAATACTTTCTTGTTGAGTATAACCTCTAGCAACCAACCAAGCTTATAGCGGTCAATATTGCCATGTACAAGATGTTTTATCTTGGACACCCAACGACTACTAATGACATTCATTGAAGGATGAAAAGGAACTAAAGACCAAGTGTTGTTGGAATGCAGTGCTAAATTTCATCCTTCATAGCATTGTGCCAAGCCTCATACATATCAACATTAGAAAATGTAATTAGTTCATGGGTAGGAGGAGAGAGTACTAGAGAAATACAATTGGCAGACGAAGTGAAAGAAGCCTTCATATTTGTTGTCTTTGGTAGCCATATACAAAGAACCATATGATGTTGATGAACCACAGAACATGAGGTAGGTAAGTTTGAAACTGTATGCTACTACAAAAGATAAGAGGAGAGGTCAACAACCAAACTCAACCCAATAAGAGATTCAAACTATAGCAAACCCGGGTGAACCAACAATAGAATTAGAAGAACCAATAACGTTAAAATGGAAAATTGTAACTCTAAAGAAGGAGAACCTATATCTGGAGAATGATTAGTAGATAAACAAGCATACAATGACATAAAAACAAGACCGCTAGGCTATCTTAAGGTGGCAAGAATGGTAGACAATATTGGTGGCAGAGAGGTTATAGGCTTAGGTGAGTAAAAAAATAGAGAATTAAGCAAATTAAGCAAGTGGGTAGTAGAGGTGTTGTAATGGCTTTGTTATCTATCTAAATTTGTCAAAAGAAAACAATTATCCATAAAAACATACATTATGAGAGGTATAAATATGTTGAGATGTGATGTCAAAAAAATAACAACCAAGATGAAAGGATCCATAACTTAAAAACACACATGAAGAGGAACAAAAATCTAGCTTATAAGAATATTATGAACACAAAAATGAAAAGAAAAGACACCCAAATGTACATAGAAAATCATAATTAGAAGTATGATGAAAAAGACACTCAAACGGTGACTTATTGTGAAGGAAAAGAGAAGGCATACAAATTATAAGATACACCAAAGATTCAAACATATAATTCCAAAACTGTAATAATGCTTTACACGGTCTAAGAAGATTAAGACCAATTTTGACAATATGCCAATGAAGATGGTCAATAATTTCATTTTGTTTATAAATATAAGGACAAATTAAACAATGATGCATATCGATAATTTGAAATAAAATACTTAACTTGCAGTATTCACCATTGCAATCAATTTAAATAGATTCAATTTTCACAAAAATTAACACTCAACAAAAGCTTGAAAACGATGTAAAACAGAAAATACATCAGATTTCACAACAAAAAAATAATACCATATATATTTTGTATACGACTCAACAAACATAACAAAATAATGAAAATCATGAGAAGAAACAATAAGAGCAGGGTCCCAAGCATCACAAAAAATTAAATCAAGTGAAGTAGAAGTTTTGTGACCTGTAGGTCTTAACGATAAACAAAACGACTTTTATAACAAGCATGCTTAACATTGAGAGGTTGAACGTCGAGAGTTGCAAGTAAGTTTATTATTTGATACTAAGAAAATGAGTATACAGGAAGTAGGATGATCCAATTGATGATACTAGATATCAACAGAAGCAAATATGCAAAGAGATTAGTAAGTTTGAGGAATTGACATGGTAAAAAACTCAGATAAAACTTAGAGACCGTTTTTATTCTGACCGGAAGCACGGTCTGAGTGTTAAGATCCTTAACATAAAATACAAAGGCGTAAAATTTAAAATAGACATTATTATCACGACAAAATTTTTCAACAAAAAGCAACGACTTTCAAATATGAGGTATATGAAGAATATTAAATAAGGTAAATATACGTTTTGCTGTATATAATGTAGTATGTCCAAAATTAAATATGGAAATGCAGAATATTAGATATGAGATTCCTGAAGAATATGAGATAAGGAAAATCATTGTGTTTGTCATTGAGACCTACTAGGAAAGTAATTAAAGAGATAACGTGCTTAGGACATGTTTGAATTAACTGTTTATCTAAATATTTTCTATTTTTTTAAGAGCTTGAATTTAATTAATTTTTATTTTTTCAGATGATTATTTTACAAATACAGACACAACTTTTCTATTAATCTTAAATAATTACATATTACTAGATTTATATTTTAGTAATGATTTTGAACTATACAATATAATATTCTCAGGATATAATCTTAGCAACAGTGGACCATCCATCAAATGCTTGCGAATGGGCATTTGCAGAGGTGCTAAACAACCCTGAGATACTCAAAATGGTTGTTGAAGAACTGGATAGAGTGGTTGGGAAGCAACCACTGGTTCAAGAATCAGATTTTGCGCAACTCAATTACGTCGAGGCCCGCGCTAGAGGAGCCTTTCGGCTCCACCCTGTTTCTCCATTGAACATTCCTCGCGTGTCCATGGCTGATACAGTAGTCTCCAACCATTTCACCCCGAAAGGTAGCTATGTTATTCTTAGCAGATCAGGGACCTTAAAGTTTGGGACGGGCCGCTGAGATTCAAACCAGAGTGTCATCACACCAGAACAGGACATGTTGTGTTGGCTGAGAATGGATTGAGATTCGTTTCATTTTAGCACAGGAAAGCGTGGGTGCATGGCTGCATGTGACACTTGGGAGTTCGATGACGAACATGCTATTTTCTAGGCTTCTTCACGCTGAAATTTATTTATTTATTTAGATTGTTTAATACATTAAAGTTTATTCTCAATATCAAAAAGGTTGAATGATTGGATTCCATCTCATCATGAAGTGGTTGTGGAAAAACCTTGATTAGAAAAGTTGAAATATATAAATTTAAAGTTGTATAATCATTAACATGATGATGCATAACAACCTTGATGTTACAGCCATGGGTTTACTCGATAATTAAGGATGATTCATCCCTTAATCATTTGATTCTTTTTTATGACATTACTTGTAGATATATTGCTCCAAATATCAAAGAGCAGATGCTACGGAGACTTCTTGAAGTGTTTGGGGTTGCAGTGAGTGTTCGAGCACTCCTTCAAGCAAATATGCCTTTTCACCTCATCTGTGCATCAAAAACACCTTAAAAAGGTCATACATCTACACACATATGAATAGATTTCATAACTATTTGTGCATATACACTATAAAGCTAGCATATATCCATGTTGATTTATTTATTAGAGGGAGATAAATGGGAATTAAAGCATAAAAATGAGCAACCCATTTGTAGCAAATTAGCCTACTTGTCAACACAGAGAAATAAATAGTTATACAAAAATATTAGGTAGAAAGATCTGGAAAAGAGTTCAAGTTATCATTTTATTGCTTCATTATTAGCTTCATAAGCTTATCGGTTGAGCCAAATCTAAGTTCACTATAGAATCAAAATTCAAATCAAGCACAGTCAGAAGACGTGATCTGAGAGTCTACGTGGGTGAATCTAAAATTTGATTTTTTTCCTATTTAAAGAAAAAAGAGAGTCTTGTTTCAAATTTTATTTAACAATAATATCCAAAATGGTATCATTTTAGTTTAAAAAACCAAGTTTCTTCATTGACGACTAGTGGATCCTACCATGCCAAAACGAGTCTTATATCCAGGCTTTCAAGTGAAATGTAGAGGCAAGAGAAGGGGTTGGTGTTACCGTCCATGATTTTGTTGCAATTTTGAAGCGAACAACCAACATTGCAGTAGCGAATAACATCTAAATTGTTGCTGCACGTGTCCATGCAGTGAGACGAACACTGCCACGGTATATTACCTTGATCAACACAGCTTCTAAAACATTTATCATAACACTTCTTATCGTACTCTTCCGAGTAAGCTGTTGTTTTCCTCAAGAGCATCAGCATCAACATCAGAACGATCACCTTGTTGAACCCCGTAATTAACTCCATTTCTGTGAATTTTCTTTTGATTAATCGTGCTTTGGCCCATCCAAAAAGGCAACATATATGCTTTAATCTTTTAACAAAGTTAACACGTAAATGCATTGGTAGTTGCAAGGAAAAAATAGCATAAAATCAGCAAGTATTACTACTAAATGCAATTTGCATGAAGAACTGTTATCCAGTCCATTTATACACAAACTACTTTGATTCAAAAAGGTAAATTGTAATGTGATAAGATGTTTTTATCAACAAAATTGCCGATGAAGTTACTGGTTATCAAAATAATTATGTTTGTGAATCCATAAGTAATATGTAATTACTATGAATTTCACTTATGGAGTTATATATGGTTCTTCTACTATTGATATGCTAAATAATATTGAGAGAATTATTGATAAATTGAAACGTGTAATTTTTTTAGCTTGTATGATTCATCTATAAAGTTATCAGTAAATTTATTAATAATAAACTTACTGATAAATTAAAAATTATTGAAGAGTTTTTTTTCAATAGATATTTTTTTGTCTATAATTATGTTGATAAAATATTACAGACGGAATATTAGGTAAATATTGATATAAAATTTCATTTATAAAACTGTTACTGTTGATGATGACAAAAGTCTAACACAACCGCGGAACAAGTTAACAAAAATCCAAGGAAGAAACAGCGGGTGTTTTCGTTGTCTTAGTTGATTTTGATGCATGATGGATTACTTCACATCGTTATATTTGTCATATAGGATATGGTAGTTGAATTGTTGATTCACTTCCCTACCTCTCTCTCTCTCTCTCTGTCCAGACAAAGCATGATAAAGCACAGAAGCGTCGATAAGGGCATCTGAGCCGGATCAAGAAACCCACTGGTCCTTATGGTGGAGAAAGCTTCGGAATCAATGCAAGAATTAGACGAAGTATCAGACTTTGAAACTAAGAACCACACTCCTCTGTATTATGAAAGTGTTACATTCAAGTCTTTAACCTAAGAGCACGCTTCCCATATAGAAAAGCAAAAGTTATGGTTTTTGATATTGACGTATGGAAAGCCTCCAATTACACAGTGAGGAGACATGCCATTTTTATCACAAGCCTGGAATCTGCTTGATTTGATGATTCAAATTCCAGCCATTTGGACGATGCGCAAAGCCAAGATTACAAAAAATTATTAGAATTTCCTTTGGTTTACCTTTCTGTCATTACGAAATTTTTTCTTCAAATTTATTTGTCAAAAATAAACGTCAGTTACCATATAGTTTAATATTTTAAAATAAAATAACATTGGTAGATTCTCATTTTTGTTATGAACATACAGACCAGACTACGCTTTAATGGTAAAAGAAAGAGAAAAAAGAAGAAGAAGCATACACATCCCAGTTACTTTTATTCACGAGTTCTAATAAAAAGTAGCTAATTAGCTGTATAAAGATACATAGCTAGATAGACAAATCATAGTTTGGTATGGCGGACAGTATTGATTGGATTTATACATAGCTATATAGACACATCATAGTTTGGTATGGTGGACAGTATTGATTGGATTGAAAATAATAGAATCCGACAAATAACTATCTTGTCTTGTAATTGATGTGCTTGGATCTCGACTAACTTGAAAATTTAACTTATTTTTTGTTGGTCGAAAGTCTATAGCGATTAATCTGTTATCTGTTTTTACCTGGGATAAAATATACTATTTTTATGAATTTTTTTAATCAAAACAAGATTATTTAACTTTTTTAATTTGAGTCAATTCAAGTTGATCCTCTTAATCTAAAGTTTACTGCAAATTGATTTTTAAATTAGATTGTAAAATTATAATAATAACTATTTTTATTTATATATTGTGACTTGGAGCCGAGTTGACTATCCTAACCTATAACCCAAATATTATTCCAGGTTGACCTCCAAGTTAGTTTTAAAATCATTTTTATTATTATATTGATTCGGATCAACCTATGTTGATCCTACTAACCCATAACTCAGGTCTTGCTCTAAATCAACCTCCAATTATGATAGTAATTATGATGTATAATGTGGTTATTTTATATGTCTCTTTCTATGATATCTCACAATAATATACTTTTTATGCATGTTTAAAACCAATCTTAAGATGCTTATGTTGGTTATTTTTAATGCAAATGACTAATTAGTTTATAAGTAAAAATTGATTTCATAATTGAGTTTCAGATTAGTTTGTGCAACTGTCTTTGATATGAATGTTTGGTTTATAATAATATTTATCATTTGTTAGCAAAATAAGATTTTATGACTTGGGATCAAATTAGTTGTATTAGTGTTTACCTTTTAGGAACACTACCGAAAAGGTTGAGATCTTTTATCTTCTAAAGTTTTGAGCTTTGAGGTATTTCACATATCTTATTGTTTGGAAATAGCACAACATCTAGATGAACATGGAATATGTGGTATCATATATTTGATAATACTTTACAAGTGCATTTGTTATTGTTAGATTGGAACCATTACTAAACTTTTAAATGTTCGTTTTATATTCTTCATAATATAACTAATATTATAAAGCTTCTTTTGAGTTAGTTGAGTCTAAATACAAACCAAAGTATGTCTTCTAAAAGACTTATCTATCTCCAAATTTGGTTATTTTAAAATTATTTTTGTCTTATTATTTAATATGTGTTTTGGTTAGGACCCTATGAATTTGCATCTCGTGTTTGATATGTTATTGGTCATTTTTAGCATTGGTATGGTTAGTTATATTTTGCTATTACTTTTGGATTTTAAATTTGTCAAACAATGTGTTTCGTGTATTCCTTATCGGTTTATAATAAAAATCAAAGATCAATCATTTATATATCTATTTTGGACCTAGTAACTTGTTTACAAGACATATAAAGGTTTAAACCATATAAAAAGGATCTTTAGAAGGCCAATATTTTAAATGTTTTTATAAACTATCTTTTGATTTTTAATTACCAAAACATTTTTTATGTTTTTTATTCACTTACAACGTTTAAAGTGATAGACTTATAGCAAATTATTACCTTAAATATTAATAGTAGTTTTTATGATTTTTAAAATTTCAAGAAGTCTTCTCTTAAAACACACAAGCTTTTAGGTTAAGTGTCTATTAAGGATTTCTTATTACAAATGAACCTTAACTGGTCATTGTATTTTTGGGTAAATTAATAGTGTTATATTAGTCAATTCAATTATGTCAATGTTTACTAATGAGTTCCGAGTGTAAATGAATGCTCATTATTATTACACTTAGGTATCAATTAGAGGTATTGAATTATGTAATGAGTCTTATTCCAAAGAATACATGATGATAAATAAGAAAACATAAATTAATTATCCAGATACAATGTTTATGTATACACGAGTCTCCACCAACTAGTGTGCTTAAATATTGATTAGGAGAAACATTTTAAAATTGAATTACCAACATCATTATTGATAACAAGAACACACCCTCACAAAAATGCACCCGTAAAGGTTATTGTCCAAACTTGATCCATAAAAGGATATTCAATACCACTATATCTTGTTTCCAAATAAATGTATCTATAAATATCACTATTTGGATATTTAAGAGTAAGGTTTAAAGCTTTATTCAACAAAAAAAGAAAAAAAAAAGAACCTAGTACCATAAGATAAATGA